CTGAGCCAGGCTGATGGTATCGTGGTGGCACGGTGACGGGGGGGGGACGGGACACACACACGGGGACCTCTGCCCGTCACCGCACCCATGGTTGTCACATCCCGGCTGGGGGGATGGGTTCCCACGCTGGGGATGGGTTTCTGGGCTGGGGACATGGGTGGTGGCCATGGGGTGAGAGCACTGGGGGCGAGGGTTGGTGCTGGGGACGCTGGTGGTGGTCTTGAGGTGTCAGCATTGGGGACATGGGTGGTGGCCGTGGGATGAGAGCCTCGGGGACATGGTTTTGTGCTGGGGACACTGGTGGTGGCCACAAGGTGAGAGCACTGGGGGCGTGGGTTGGTGCTGGGGACACTGGTGGTGGCCACAGAGTGAGTCTGTTGGGGACATGGGTTGGTGCTGTGGACACAGATGGTGGCCTTGAGGTGTCAGCATTGGGGACATGGGTGGCGGCCATGGGATGAGAGCCTCGGGGACATGGTTTTGTGCTGGGGACACTGGTGGTGGCCACAGAGTGAGTCTGTTGGGGACATGGGTTGGTGCTGTGGACACAGATGGTGGCCTTGAGGTGTCAGCATTGGGGACATGGGTGGCGGCCATGGGATGAGAGCCTCGGGGACATGGTTTTGTGCTGGGGACACTGGTGGTGGCCACAGAGTGAGTCTGTTGGGGACATGGGTTGGTGCTGTGGACACAGATGGTGGCCTTGAGGTGTCAGCATTGGGGACATGGGTGGCGGCCATGGGATGAGAGCCTTGGGGACATAGGTTTGTGCTGGGGACAGGGATGGTGGCCATGGGATGAGAGCACTGGGGACGTGGGTTGGTGCTGTGGACACAGATGGTGGCCTTGAAGTGTCAGCGTTGGGGACATGGGTTGTGGCCACAGGGGGAGAGTGCTGGGGACATGCGTTGGTGCTGGGGACATGGGTGGTGGCCATGGGGTGAGAGCACTGGGGATGTGGGTTGGTGGCCACGGGGTGAGAAAATTGGGGATGTGATTTGGTGCCGGGGACGTGGATGGTGGCCTTGAGATGTCAGCACTGGGGACATGCGTTGGTGCTGGGGATGCTGGTGGTGGCCACAGGGTACCAGCACTGGGGACGTGGGGCAGTGCCAGTGCGTGGACTCGGAGGATGTCCCTGGGACATGCCGTGGGGACCTGGCCGGTGTCTGGGAATACCGTGGCGGTGTGACTCTGCCCCGGCGCGATGCCATGGAGGGTGGCGGGGGCCCGGGGGCACT